GGGGGGGGGGGGCTACGGGAGTTAGAAAAATGAGCTGGGAGGGGAGGGGTAGAATAAATGCTGGCAAAAAAATTAGAACTAACCTGGCAATGATTTTTTTTTTAAAAAAAAAAAAAAAAAAAGGAATGTATATAAAATCCGTTGACTTGGCCGAGAAATGGAAATAAAACATCAGCCGATAGCAAACAAAGGTTACCAAGGAAACCAAGGAATGGAACTTTCATAAAAACAGTTAAGTGGAAAACAGCGTAAGTAGGGCACTTACATTAATTACCGTTTATAAGTAAACGGTAAATGCGATTTAACCGAAAATCTATACAGTTCTTCATCAGATCAAAATGGACAAAATTACAAAATTTGAGACAGCTAACGTAAATCTAACGATAGTTATCGTGAACGAAAGAATTGCTGACATAGATCCGGTAACTATTATAGGTGGGATGGGATGGTTCCTTACATAGCTATTGTAGGTAAGAAAAGTTGCGGCTACCTGAAATGAAGGGGAATAATTAGCGACAAATTAAAGAAAGTTCAATGATGTAGAAGAGTGGAATTTGTTTCCTAAAATGCAAAACGAAAATGAAAGTGAGATGAGGAGATGGTAAAAAATCTTGACTTCAAAATATATCAAATATTTTGAGGTTTGAGACTGAAAAAAGAACTGCTTATTTTATCCCACGCCATCTTCTCGAAGGAAGCAAATCCAATTATCTTTCCTTGTATTAGTGACCCAGGCAACCGAACTAGCTTCAAAGGTAAGCTGGTTGCGTCCAAGACTAACTGAAGGGGATTCTAAGCAGAATTAATTTCCCGTTTGCTCGTTCTAGTTCTGGGGCGTACCTATACTTAAAAAATCTTGACCTCAAATGATATCAGACATTTTGAGGTTTGAAATGGAAAACAGTATTTGAGTTGCTTTTCTTTTCTCCTTCTGTAATTTTCAAGAGATTACTATCCCCTCCCCCTCTCCTTTTTTAAAATTTGTTAAGATAAATACCTACTAATTTTGTGATAAGATCTCATAGGCTTGGCGGAATTTTTACCCTTTTTGAGGGTTTTTTGTGGTTATATCAGTTATTTTTGGTTTTTCTGCACATGCTGAGACCATTAGACGCTTAATAAAAGGGAGGAAAATGTTAAGCTATGAATATTGGTGGATAAGGATTCATTACAAACAAAGTTCATTCTTGATGTTATGCTTCCCCTGGAGATGAAAAATGTTTCTATCCAAATTTTAAAGACAGGGAGAACAAAATTGAATACAGGCACTCACAATAAAATACTGCTAGCATTTATGATGCCTGCATTAATCCTCTTTAAATGGAGATATGAGGTGAAGCTTAAACTAAGGAAAAAAGTCAACTTTGGTTTGAATGACATTTACCTAATCAGAGTATCCAAAATTTTACAGTTGGTTACCTTTGAATAACCTCTGCTTGATTCCGCACAGAATAATTCCAACAGGGATCAGTTAATATATTTTGAAAGATATGCTCCAATTTATTTTCAAATTAAAAAAATTCCTTTTGAGATCAAACTGATTTTCTCCAAAAATTTAGAGGAGGTAAATCTCTCAAACAAAATAAAATAAAATAGCCTTAGCAAATAATTTGCAAGAAATTATTTCTCCTGCACATTATATGTGTTGGAGCAGTTACCTAATTTTAATCGTAGGTTGTTATGAATGTCAAAGGCTTGCAGTCATGTGAATTCTTGGATGTACATATTGACAAATGAAGTCATTGAAAGTCAATGATATCAGTAAGCTTTGAAAGGCTAAAAAATACCTACTTCAAAGATGAGCATAAGAAAATTCTAATGTCAGAGTCCTTATTTATTCAAAGTGAAATAGTTTACTTAAACAATGTACTTAAAATTTCTGAAAAGACACATTGCTCTGATGATCCTTATGAACTACTTACTTCCACTGACTTATCTACTTTTCTAATGAGGAACAGAAAGCCCTTAGGTATTTTGAAATTGGAAACATTCCTGAAGAATCTGGCCACAAAAATTTTATTGTTAAAAATTTGGAGAGCAGGTAATGTGTAATGAGTAAGTTAATACATTTTTATTACAAACATCAGATTACCCAGAGTATTGTGAGCACAAAAATCTTTGATCGTAAAGTTAGGCAAGTGAAGTAAAAACTACCAAAATACTCTTATGAGCAACTAAGCTGAAAGGCCCATAGGTAAATTCTCCCTCCAATCCATAAAGATACCTATAGAAAAAGAAGCGAGCAATTTCATTCGCTGAACTCTTAAATCTGAAGTGCATCCTTAAGTAATACCGCCTTGGGCAGTTAAAAATAAACTTTATGCTAAGAAACCTCCTTGGTCCTACCTACAGAATGTAGCTACCAAGAGAAAATCTGGAGATAGGTATGCGTTTCCATAGTATATGTAGGTATGGGCACCATCGAGGATGTCTGGGCACCGTTGACGATGCTTGACATCCCTACGTCGCCCGTAACATATGTACCATTCGCGCACTGAGCTCTGATGTGTTTACATTTCAATTACTCACTCAGCAGCATATTAAATCAAAGTGAGTACGAATAGAGATCTTAGCAGTGTATAGTATAGAGTATCACTTAAATTCCTTCCATTCAGTGCAAATACATTGCCCCATCCGCTATTTGCTTCGAGACTCAATAGCTATAGTAGCAATGTCTGCGGAGATCGTCTTTGCTTATAATATTCTACGGGAGCAAGGAAAGACAAGGAAACTTGAAAATTGCAATGCAAATTTCTTGAATGAAGCTTTATAACTAGCATGTATTTATCAACATACACATTCTCTGAAACTATACTATGGTTTGAGCACTATAGTGATAATTTGCGTTACAATCACAACACACAATTAGAGTGTTCTAAAGGGTTTGAAGATAGAGTAGCCAGCAGCCTGATTGTTGAAATTTTTTATTTGTCGGGACAACATAGATGACATAGGTTAAAAGGCAGAGCGGAATTGGTTGGCTATGTCTTATCGCTGCTTTGTCGTGCCTATGTCGGGTTGAACTAACGACAAGCTACCAGCACCTCTCAAGTTTCCGACAGTATGCCATCCATTCCACCTGACAAAGGCACAACAAGGCAACGATAAGACATAGCCGACTAATCTCGCTCCGCCTTTTAACCTATGTCATCTATGTCGTCCCGACAAACAAAAAAATTCAACATTCAGGCTGCTGATAGATTTTGCATGGTCACTGTGGTTTGGCATGGTTCAGCAAATATTGCTTCTGATATTAGGTAACACACATTGAAATAGTTCAGCACATACCTTAAGTAGAATTTTGGCATCCGACTCGGCATAGATTTGTTGCTAAAACTACTGACGCTGCCTTTAAATCCTTGATATGGGTCTCACTCAAAACCAGATTACTAGGATTTTTTGACATCGAACAGATTTCCTCAGGGATAAGGGTACTAAAATTCACTTGTCATAGGTACTTACAGTTTTGCTTGCGAACAAATGAACCACGGATGGAGGAAGGTACACAGAACTTGTAGCACGGTAATAAAGGTAGAGACAAAGTTTAGAGATAGCAGTGAACAATAAAGGGAAGTTTAATTTGTATGATTTAGTTTGCATTTCGAAATAACAACATTAAATTATTCAGTAGTTTAGTTCGTGTAGGTATGTTTACATCTCGCGATAACCTAAAAGCGAAAAGACAAACATTGATTGAATTGACTTGACTGTGACGTCAACTAGCTATCCGGCACGAAGTCACGACGGCAGGGAATTCAACATTCTTAGAAACCAGTTGTTTAATAGATAAAAAAACAAATCGGAAAATGAGTGATTAACGCAAATCTATGTTTTAATCTCAGTTTCTCTCCAAGCGTGGAAAAGAGGGTCGTGATTCAGAATTCACCGGCCGGGATTCACTTGATTCACTCTGTTCACTGATGACATAGAATAATAGCTACTTATTTATTACTCTCAAGACGATGATGAGATTCTTTCCAAGGGTTCACACAATTTTTCAAGACAAATTGACGTGGAACAGCGACAGAGCAGCTAACTGACGCCATGACACTGGCAGTGGCAGCACTGGCGGTGCGTCGTGAATGGTCAGAATGGTCGTGAATTGAATGAAACAACGACTTTGATCAGTTGAACTTTCTTAAAAATTAATAATGCAAAAACACGTTCTAAATTCAAGGAATGATGCCTATGCGTAAGTTTAAACTTTTTGAAATGATTTGCAATGATTTTTATAACTGTTATTGCACATTTATATTTAATGCGGACGGGCAATGAAGTCAAAATTTCGAGGCACGAATGTGATACGGCGCGGGTAATTTGAAAGAGTGGCCAAAAAACGGCAGAAAATTAGGGATTATTAATTAACTGCGCAATGAATCAGCTCCAAATTTCGCCTGTAGGCGAGGAATACAATATGCTTGCCAGAGTGCAAAGGGTTTTGAGTTTCGTTAAGTTTTTGCGAAGATATCTCAAAATAACGCAAAAGTTGAACGGGTTCGTGTAAGATACAGTAGCGGCTCCCATTCTCGTTGTTGGAGATCTCTATAGGCTTGACGGGGTCGCTACCGCTCCTAGTAATTATTTTGCCATTTTTTTGTCGCAATTGTTGATTTTTTCTTAAAGCTTTCATACTTGATCATTTTAAATGGTTGTTGTATTACCTCACTAAGCAGTGATAACATTTCAAGTTGACCGGATTTTTTAATGTTGTAAAACACCATTTCGATGTCTGTTTACCAACCAGTTAATGAAGAGACTTACAAAAGTAGAAACAAGGATTTGCCTCAGTGCAAGATGAAAAAATTCAATCACCCTCTTTCTTGAAATAACAGAGTGTATTGTTTAACATTAACAATAAAAATGAAACTAAAAAACAGCGAACTGATTAAATCAACTAAAGCTAAAATCAACTAAAAAACTCGAATTCGCTTACGTCTTAAAACGCCAATCACAATTGGGCTACAATCACTGAGGATGGGAAGCGATAGCTCCCGAAACTAGTCTGGCGTTTTAAGACGTAAGCGAATTCGAGTTTTTTAGTTGATTTTAGCTTTAGTTGAGAGTGTATTGTGTTAAAAAATCTAAATAACTTTATTGGTTTCCAATTTTGATCAATTACTGCCAAATTTACCCAACTCAAGAAAACATATAGTAAGAGCCATGATCAAGTTTGACAATATAAAATCTTCAAGAATGATTTTCAAACTTTCTCTGGTAAATTTTTTATTTTTATGGGTTTTAATTTGGTTCTTGTTTCGAAATTTACCTGTCTAGCACTTGGTTATCTCTAAATAGATTTAACATTTGTTCATGGTTTGATTCTTAATTTTGTAAGACTTAATTTCTAATTTCTTTTTTTTTTTTACAGAATGTGTTGTCGATGAAAGAGTGTATAGCAGACCCTGACGAGGCTTTGATCCGCGGTGTAATAGAGCCGTTGTGTATTTTAAGACGCATCGGAAAAATCCCTGCTGGTCAAACATGCGTTATACTTGTGGATGCTCTTTGTGAAGCAGAGTATCATCAACCAGATGTAGGTGACACCATTGGCTCATTTTTAGCTAAACATTTAGTTCAATTCCCATCCTGGCTCAAAGTTGTTGCAACGGTTAAATCTGACATTATGGAAAGCATCCCCAGTTTTTCTGCTCAAAAAATAAGGTATGTAGAAAAAATCTCAAGTTATCATTAGGTCTATTACAAAATATAAGATTGAATCCTCCTATATTTTGGTGCTGAATCGAGACACTACAAACACTTCTTACCTTCCTTTTTTTTAAAAAAAAAAAGAAAAAAAACGAGTTTTGTTTATTGCGATGTTTTTTCAATGGAATTACATACAATTTTTTGAACCTAAATTCAAGCCACTTACAACGAACGAGTTAATACGTTACGTTTTTATAGAATAATGTCCGTGCTTAAATGAACACGCTTACCGCCAGGTTGCTCACAGTGACGGATTTTTTGTTGATCGTGCCAGGACGACAAAGTGGTCACAATAAACAGTGTTGTGAATATTGTGTATTAATTGTGCTAATTTTTGGCAGAGGCTTTGTCTACAGATTCTTAAGCCGTATGTAGCAGAGAAAGAGTACTAGCATGCAGGCAAACAGTAAAAAATGTGGTCAAAGCATTTTCATTTTGCTGTTTCCCTGTTTATTTTTTTGGTCTGATAAGAACAATCATACCAAAAGAAATTGACAGAAAATGTGTTAAGTGACGCTATCATTATCTATTTTGAAGATAAGAATGTTGGCGGTATGTGCACTGGTGCGTCAGATAATCGAGACATAATTTATTCCCGAATTTTTTACCTTTTTTTGTGACTAAAATATACTACATATCCTCATCTGTTTGCTAATCTTAATTTTTTTCTTTTTACATGAATTAATTTTGCACTTATACTGAAATTGAAATCTTGTGTTTTTCAGCCTTGATGAAGGTTCTACCAACACTGAGCATATCCACAAAGATCTTTTAGGCTTCATCAATCATCAGGTCCTAAATAGCACTTTAATCCAAAATAATTTAGTGCAAGGTGCGGCAGGGCAACTTAGATTCTGCCAACACTTACTTAAATTGACGAAAGGCTCCTTTATGTTCGCTAAATTGATACTGGATCTATTTGAAAAAGGACAGCTTGTGGCAAAGTCTGCAAGTTATAAGGTGCTGCCTGTAACTCTGAGCGAGATTTATCTTCTTCATTGCAATCTGCGATTCCCATCAACTCAGTCTTTTGAGAAGGTAAGTCCTCTTAAAACTCTCTTGGTAATCTGGTGAAGCTCATATCAACCTGTATTCATATCATTAAATTTAAGCAGTTTTTCTAATTATTCTTCACTTGCCGTCTTACCTGACTCTTTTTTTATAAAAAATTTGACTTCATTTTCTGTATCTGAGAACCATAAGAAATTGTCAGTTGTCAATTTGTTGTCAATTGAGCTCAGTCTGCCAAAGTTAGCTGTGCAAGTTCAATGCAGCACCTTAGGAACATCCTGGGCCAAGCCCAAGAGCCTGGTAGGTACATACAGCAGACAGTTTGAGACCTCTGTAAATTGTTATCCTGTAAAAGGTGGAACTTCCTATTACTGTTTGCAGAATCTTCATTGCCTCTTAATTCTTAATTTTTGACGCAAGCTGACCATTTTCATTTGTTCATCAAAATATGTATGTGTCTTCTTCTTGTGTTTAGTACTCACTAAGGATTTTTTTTGCTTCATCTAGGTTTGCGGTATTTTAAGTGTATGTCTTGCTGCACTTTATCCTTTGACACTGATCGAAATATATTACTCTGTCAATGCCCTCAATCGAAGTAATTTTGTTCCATGGGATGACTTTCTACAACGCTTCAAGGTAACTTCATCAGTTTTTTTGTTTTTTTTAGGATGAAACTTTGCCAGATTCATTCCTCAATTTAAGTTGTCAACAAAGTTCGGGGACTTGAAAATTCAATTATTGCAGTTGAAACTTTGTCTTATGACAAAAAAGAAATTTCAATTCAATGTATTATCATTAAATCAAAATAATGGCTGATTAAATCATTATCAGTGGGTAAAGAATAATTGTTACGTTATTGAAACATACAAGCTCAAATTCAGTTCATCGTGCAAATTTAGTGAGTGATTTTTTGCGTATCAGCAGAAATCTTCAATTTTTAAAGGATGTCGTCACAACAGAACATGGCAAAAAATGTAACCAACAAATTTCAAAGTTCAACCCTGAGAATTCATGTGATAAAATACGCAACCCATCAAGCACACACATGGCTGGTTGTTACATATTCTAACGTATCATGGAGAAAACATTTTTTTGTCAGTTAATGAACAAAAAGTAGTTAAAAAAATTGGAAAACATTGTGAAATTTATAAATACTGCATGAACAAATTCAAAACTTGGATATGTGGCCACGTCTGCCTGATGCTAAGGCACGGGCCCAATGGACTAACATCAGCGAAATCTTGGAAAAAATTGACAAATCAAGTGTAAGGTATGATTCGTACAGAAGTTTTGCCAATCTACTTTTGCAAAAAAAGTTATCAAAAATTTTAATGGTATTAACAAATCAGCAGTTTGGTAGAACAGCGCATTGTTTTTGCTCTTTTTCATGCGCAGATGAAAAAAAGTGGAAATTTCATCCACAACCTATCAAAAGTCTGTGTACTTAAAAGAAAAAATTTGACCGGAAGTTTTGTTTAAAGGATAAGGAAAGTCAGACAAATGGTAAGGAGGGTCAGAGTATTTGGAAATGAAGAAATCGAGGGGACCCTGATAAAATATCAATGTTTCCTTGATAGCATCAAGTGTGGAAGCTTTGTAATACAGTATGACGTCAATTTGTCGGATTTCATGGGACTAATGAATCAATCCGTCAAATCATGGAATCCACTTATTTGAATAGCTTTGAAGCTCTTGGAGGTACCGGAAGATCGATCGGTTAGGTTGGATCTGTTAAATTGCAATCGGATAAATTGAGGTCTTACTGTACCTCAGATGCTCATATCTAACACAAGTTTATTGTTTTTCAGCTGCTGTCGGGATTTCTAGTAAAAAGAATTGACAATACTTACATGTTTTTCCACCCTTCATTCAGGGAGTGGCTCATCAAAGGTCTTGATGGAGAAACCCATAAATTTATCTGTGATCTCAGGTTAGAAATATTTTTCATATTCTTTCATTTGTCCATTCTAACTTCAAATTTTAGAATCATTTCATTTTTAAATTTTTTTAATAATTTGAATTATTTTAGATGGTAACTCCATTTTCTTTATGTACTCTGATGTTAAAAAGTATGTTATAATCTGGTTTTCTCTTCAATTTAATCTGTTTTAAGATTTTGTCAATCCTTTTTTGTTGATTTGAAATAATAAAACTTTTGAGCGAACGAATACTAATAAACTTTTTTTCCTGGGAACAGAGCTGGACATGCTGGCATTGCATTCAGACTCTCTCGTCTGCAGACACCCCTGGATGCAGAACGAACATTGGAACTAGGACATCACATTTTAAAGGCCCACATATACAAGAACATGACTCTTCACAAAAACTCACCTCGAGATCTGCAATCACATTGGGTCGCCCTATCCTCCAAGGATGTTTCTGAGGCATTATGCTATATAAGAAATATTTATAGCCCGAACGTCAAGGTACAAACTCTTATCTTATCCTTTGGTATTTGAAAATAGGATGCAACCAGGTGTTAGAGTTTCAAAATTTCAGTTAAATGTATAAACCTGTTAACTGCCTAAGTTTGTCTTATAATTTCCAGCAAGTTAAGAAAAGTGAACAATTTACGAGGATGAGAGATATCGCTCTTAGCCAATGTTGTCTCTCAAACGCGGGTGTAACAAGAGGCTCAGATATCGACGGTGTAAGTCGGCAATCACATAACTCGGTTTGCGACATCGCAGACTGCGTGTCATACTTTATTTTTTAAACGGAAAACTACTCAACGGCTATTCTTTAAAACTGCCGTGATTTTTCATCTCTGTGCGAAGAAAATTCTGCAAAAACTTGAAGGAATGATGTCAATTTGTTCTCCTTTAAAAAAATAACAAAGAAGCGGAGATTTTCAGACACCGCAAATGAGATATGTGATTGCGGACTTTCGCCGTCGATATGTGATGATAAAGTGATCTCTCCACAAAGGTGAAAATGATTAAAAGTAGCTTCCTAAGTGTCCGTCCTTAGGGATGGGCATGGCAGTTAATGCTTTAAAGTATTTCGTTTAATATTATAAAATATGAGCATTTCTAATGCATCAAGCATTTCTAATGGATTTAATAATCTTTCCGCCAGGTATCACGCCTTTTACTGCTCTCTGGTGCATCCCCAGATCACATCACAAATCTCCTTGGCAGTGCTCCAGCTCTGTGCCTGTTTGCTCAAGAAGGCATGACAGAGATGGTCGGAATGCTCCTTGAATTCGGTGCATCCATCAACTTGGCTAATAACCAAGGCTCCACTGGGCTGTGCCTGGCTGCAAGCAACGGGCATACAGCTGTTGTTCGCCAATTGGTGGCAGCAGGAGCTGCCCTTGGCAGAACGGATACCTCCGGAAGGTGAGCATCTCACAGTCATGACATCTCCAAGCTTTGAAACAACCATAATTTTTGAAAAATTTGAAGGAAATACAGCAACAGCATCGTCTGATACCGCGACTCTCTGTTTTGCATCTGCATTCCTGCATGATCATGAAGACATACAAATCCCACCGAAGGAAGGATGTTCTGAAGGACCGAAATTGGCCTTGTCTTGGATTTTTCTAACTCCGGCATTTTTTAACAGTGAAAAGTCCATATTCAATGAAAATAACCGGTTGCAAATAGTCATCAAATTCTTTTAGTAAAGTTCATTGCTCTGTAAGGTCAAAAAGCGGTCTTTTTTTATAGTTCTTTCCTATTAAATGTTGTTTTTTCACCAGAGCACAAACTAATATCAGGCTGCAACTTGGATGTATTTTTTTGTAACATAAAGAGTTTTATCAATACAAAAATCATATCCATACTTTCTCACGTTTTGGTTGAAAACTAGCAGGAAATTCAGAAAAATCATGAATAATGGCCATTTTTAGCTTTCAGACCTATATTTTTGGCAATGTATTTTACTGTGAAGATCTCATGACTGGTTAAAATCAATTCTTTTTGTTAACCATGGATTCGAAAAGAAGCAATGGAGTCACATAAATCGAGATCAGTTTCGATTTCAACCCTGGAGTAGGGCCAGTTGTGGCTCTTAACAATGCTCCTCCACCATTCTTGGAAACTAATGCAATGCTTGCTTGATACGAAGCCCATCTCAAGCAGTGAATTAATTATTATCAGCTCTGTGGCCAGGCGGAGACAGAATCAGTTGCTCTGTGGCCTCCTGATCATCATGACTAGTTTGTCATTCATTGAAGCTTTTTTGGCGAACCATTTCGACAAGCATAGTGGTCTGTGTGTTCATACACTGACCTTGGGTATCCTTGAGAGTTTATATTCGAAAATCACCTTAAAATTTTAATCTCTCAGAAATTTCTATCGATCCTAATGTTTTTATTTTTATTTTTTTTTTTCAGGTGTGCTTTAGTTCATGCTGCCCGCAATGGACATCTAGAAGTTATCGCCTATCTTCTAGCCTGTGACTGGGTGCTCACAACTGATAGGAAACTGAATGTGTCTTCAACATGCTCAAATGAAGTAGAACTTGAGAAAGCTACTCAACAAGCTCTGGTAGCAGCTGCCTCGCAAGGACATATTGAGGTAATCCATGATCATAGCCTGAAGTTTTAAAAAAGTGAAAAATGAATCTTGAACGTTGAATGAGAGGACTTGTGTCATGGTCCTTGATTCTGTTCCCCGTCTCAAAGTTTAATCAGGACACTGAGAAATAAGATAAAAAATGAAAACATTAAGAGCGAAGATTTCGGAGTTGTTCAGTTTAAAGAGTCAAGACTTCTGAGAAATTACCGAGCCACTGTAAGTCGAAACAAGTTTGAAATGTATTTCTATCTGGTTCGGCTCTATTTTTAGTGTCCACATTCAACTTAATTTAAGTACACTCATTAAATTGCAATATACTTATACTCTTGTAAAATTTTAAATCTTTTCTACATTTTTGTTTCAGATTGTAGAGTATTTATTAGATTTGGCTTCTGTGAAACCTGATGAGCCTGATTCATTGACTGGAGAAACTGCTCTTACATTGGCATCTTGCAGAGGAGATGTCAATCTATGCTCTGTTCTATTGAATCGAAATGCCAGTATTGATGCTGTCAATTGCAAGGTAATATTTTTTACTTTTTCGTTCCCAAAAATTATGTACTTTTTTTCATCATTGAAAGTAAGTCGTAATTAACTTATATGAAAATTCAAGAATAGCTAAACTTTTGTTCACTCTAATTTAGAATCATGTGTGTAGTTCCATTTTTAGATTAAACATCAAGTTTTCACTCAATCAATCATCAAGCTTTATGTGTATTCACTAGTATTCCAGTGTAAGCTGAGCACTCTTCCACCCCTCAGTCTTGCACTGTTACTCATTAGAGCTCAAATTTTTGACTCTAATTGAAATTTTTGGATTTTAACCTTGCTTCCCTGCAAAGTAATGAGGACCCAGCACTAATTTACCATTTTAACATGCAGTTTGGACCATATTTAGTGTTTTCTTATTTTTCTCTCTCTCTCTCTCTCTCTCTCTTGTCAATCATCAAGTTAAGACTGGGGTAATATTTTGTTGTAGAATAAATCTCCATTGATGTTGGCGGCGAGAGAAGGGCACTGGGCAGTGGTTGAGCGGCTGCTTCAACACTTGGCACCTATAGAACAAACAGATGATCAAGGACGGACTCCTTTGATTCTGGCAGCAGGGGAAGGGCATGTTGGAATTCTGGAGCTGCTACTAGAAAAAGGTGAGCTGCAACGAACGCATGTAAGAAAATTGTACATATTCCATCGCATTTTGGTGGCTGCCTTTGCCTGTTACTTAATACTAAACTCCAGACTGTTATTATTCATTAATTACAGAGAAAAAAAAGCAGAGAGCTCTTCTCGATCATCGATTTGATGACGCTGCACATTTCTATTCATAGACCTTGTCTCTACGAGACGTTTCCATGACATTTGTCCCAAGTTCAAATTGCAGGAATGAGACTGCTGGGAATTTCCTAGTTACCATTGCCATGGGACGGGACTCTCATGTTCCTGCAATGATTTCATGGCTCCAAATATTAATAGAATACTATTGTCTTCCTCACAGTTTTAAGGAGACCTCAAAATCTTATATCATTATGGTTTTTTCTTAACGGGTTGTTTTGTATTATTGATCATTGTTGCCGATGGCTGTTGTTTGTCTCCCCTAATGTTTTATTTTTTTAGAGGAAAACTAACTAATAGCTTTTTTTGACATCTTCCGTGAATTTCCTTTTTATTTGTTTAAAAAATCACAAGAAATTGCAAGAAAACAATTTGATCTTTTTCCTTGAATAAAATGTAACGTAATCGGAGATTTTCAAACTTTGCGATTGAGGTATGCATTTTTTACATTAAGCCGTTGATATTTGAATAGAAGACACTTCTCAAAATTTGTTTAGTGTGAGTTTAACCTTTTGTAAGTTAGGCAACTAATGTTAACCTTAAGTGGTGCACACAATTATGGAAGCATTAAGAACTTTTAACTTTTGACCTCAATCAGTAGTGTTGAAAAACAGTATTGAACCCCTTGAAATGCTGAATTCAGTATGCAATTTTTCATGAACTGTTGAGTTTAAAAATAAGTTTTTCATTATCATTATGTTTTTTTCTCCAGGTGCTAATGTAGAGCATGAAGATACAGATGGAATGACAGCTCTTACGTGGGCAAGTATGCGTGGAAGAATGCAAGCAGCCCAGTGTCTTTTAGACCATGGAGCTCTAATTAATTGCGCCGACAAAACAGGTCGATCACCTCTAGACCTAGCTGCTGCACAAGGAAATCCAAATCTTGTACAGGTATGCTTTCTTGGTCCTCTCAGTTTATTTATCACAGTTTTATGGGCCAAAAAGTTATAAATAATAAGGATTCTTATTGACCTTAGGAAAAAAACCAATTTACTTGGGTAGGCATTAAATTCCAATTTTTTCCAAATTGTCCTGTTTGTCGTGCCGATGAAGCATGGATTTGATGATTAAGTATCTACAACTCAAGAAGTACCTTTAGTTTTTCATTGACTCCACCCTTTATTAGCACAACACAGAAAACGGTTTGCAAAACCGACAAATCACACAACTCCATTCTTCCTTAATCTTGTCATATCCAGTTCACGAACACAAAATTTCAATGATCAGGCTGCTGGACTGTAAAATTTAAATTTTTTTTAATGAAATTCAAAGGATCCACCATGTCTTGCTGCTTAAAAAGAGGATAGGTATCAGTGATTTTTTTTATATTCATCACACATTTTGTCTCATTCATATGAAGTAGCGTGGTCTTATCTAAAAGATGAGCAGTAGGTAGGTTAATAATACGAGGACGTATTTATACTAAAAAGAACTATATACGTAGAATTTAAAAGAATAAAGTATGATTGGAGGTCTGCAACATGGCAAACCGAAATACGTTGTCTGGTAGTTTCATCGTCGATATGTATCATGAAAGGAGCCTTCTTCAGTCCGTGTGAATATGTATAGTAAATGTATTTTTGTGTGTAAAAATGTTAAAATGTATTTGTAAATGTATCTTTTAAGGTTGATTTGACACTTCCTCAGTTTGTGTGAACCTAAATATAATTTTCAATGTTCAGTTTGAATTCAAGCAATTTATGGTTTTTGTCCCTCAGCTTTTAATTGATCGGGGTGCCATGATAGAACATGTTGATGTGCACGGAATGCGGCCTCTAGATAGAGCAGTCAGCTGCCGAAATCTGCCTGTCGTTCAGTGTTTCCTCCGCAAAGGTGCTAAATTGGGACCAATGACCTGGCAGTTGTCCTCTGGCAGACCTGATATCCTGTAAGTTTTTATTCCGTCATAAGTAATTGGGTCAGTAGCATTGCAAGTAAAGTCTCCCTGAAAAATTTGACAGTACTCTGCCTGATTTAGAAATAATGACAGTTAAGGGCTGTGAATACCTTAAGAAGGCTCAAACTAGACGGCTGGTTTAGGCTTGGTTGATTATAAAATTTTGTTCAAAGGATTTGGAACATTTTTTGCGTAAATTTTTATAGTTTGGCGGGTACTTCTTTTTAGCAAGCAATTGTGATTTCCAATAAACTTCTACAATTTTGTGAGTGCATTCATCTGATAATGGTTTTTCAGAAGCTTTGAGGGTTTTTGCAAAATTTTGCCAATTTCACGAAATTTTATATAATATTACTGATTTGCGTAAGATTCATATTTGCATGTGAAAGCACACACACACACACACACACACACAAAATGTAAACCTATCCTCTCTAAATGTTTAAAGGGGGGCAAGTTGAATTCTACCCTCTTGAAAGTGGTAAATTAGAAGATAAAACAAATGTTAAGCACAAATGTAGTACATGTGCCAAACTTCAGCCGCTGAGGCTGTCTAACTTCTCAGAGTTATTTCTTTCCCATCTGTCCTTGTAACCACCTGATTTGATTATTTTATTCCGTTTTCAGGTTGGTGCTATTAAACAAACTGTTGGAAGATGGAAACTTCCTTTTCAGGAGAGGGCATTTAAAAGACGCTGCTCATCGTTACAACTATGCTTTGAACAAATTCCCATCAGTGGATAAATTAGATTCCACTTTCAAGCAATTAAGGGTCAACTTTCTTCTCAACTATTCAAGGTGTAAAAGGAAAATGAATGTGAGTAAATTTTTTTCCTACCAACTTGAAAGTTTTGTGAAAATTGTCTCTTACAGGGACAATTCTGAAAGTCTAGAAGCATCTTTAAAAGTTCCTCATATTTTTCTCAGACTTTGAATCAATACAAATGTTTGTTGCCAAAATGTATCGCAGATATCTCTCAGGAACAAGTCAATTGCACACGTCATAGAATGGGGTTTTGAAAATTTTATCATAGAAAATTAGCATGAAAAATTTGTCAGATTTGCCTCAACACTCGTGTTTAATTCAACCAGTTGGTAATATATTTCTCAGAAAAAGATGGTAAATAGTGTCAACCAGTGTGGTAATCATGACTTAATTTCATTGCCACCCCAGTCACTATTATTAGCTGATAAAGTGGCAATCACCTTTCTTCCTCTAAATTTGAAGCCTCCCCTACAAGATTTCCCACTTTCAGTTTCATCGTGAGGACTAAAACATGCAATATCGCTGTTTGTATGATTCTGTGTGGTTATCATGTTATTTTGTGGAAAATGAATTCTTTTTTGTCGATTGGTGAGGCTTCTTTTTTAATACTTCTGTTTTATTTTTCAGGATCCCAAAGAAGCTGTAGAGCTTGCCTCTCAAGTTTTAAAATTTAGACAAGACTCGTTTGAAGCATATTATGCACGTGCAAAGGCAAAAATTGACCTAAGGTCCGTATTCTTCTCTTTCAATACTCATAATTGTTGTAGGTTGTTAGGCAACAATACGAAAATACGATCATTAAACAGAGTTACTGTGAAATAAGGAATCACATTCATCTTTCTTGGGTTCAATTTTAAGTTTAGTGATGTATAGCTGTTGCAAGGCAAAAAATGGCAGTCCTTGCCCTTCTTTCTTTGAAAAAAACTGAGAGCCTCCCCTCCCTTCTCTCTTCTGCCCATAATCAATTTAAAATTTGATTTGGGAGGTTGGATGTGTTCTTATTTTTTACCCATTAAATTTTCCATTAAAAAAGTTGATGCTGTCCTATCACAAGCCAATCGGTGTTTAAAAGATCTTACATTTGATTGCCTTTCAAGAACGATTTTCAGTTAAAATGAATTTTAAGAGAATCACCTCAAAGTTTTGTTTTCTTATTTCTATTAGCTCAGCAAAGCATGACACAAGTCATCATGACCCGTCAAAATTTATTTTGCTCGTCCTAAGCTGTTCATAATGTCTGGACTTGATCACAGTTCACCCTAAGTTTTTTCCAATATCCCTCGCTGAGGCATGGTATAATACAGGCCTGGAACAGCCTAGGCAGATGAAAACAAGCAGTGAACTCCAACACAATGTGTTGATAAGGCGCGTCATTAACTCGCACATATCAACCCCTTTAGTTTTCATTTACAGAGATTTCAAAATAGGCAAACAGCATAAAAAGAGAATTCACGATCCAACACTGCGAGGTCAAAGACGCACCTTGACGAGACCGTGTATTGTGAAAGTAGAAAGCTATTCGATCGAATTTAAGTTTTTTGATCTGCCTCAAGCAAAATCTTATCAGATTCTTGAAGAAAAGTGCTACGGAATAATTTAAGCGAAGAAAGGAAAAATTCTGTCGAACTCCTAGAAGATAAAGTCGATTTAAAGGTATTTTGGGGCTAAAATACCCAAATCACCGGTAGTAAAAATCCCGTTATATTATTGAAAAGAAATTGACTCGATATAAATGCAATTGCATTAAATACGTCTTGATTTTGTTATTTTAAACGTCTTTCCATGCAAAGAAGTTCAACCATGTCGTTGCTTTATTCATTCATGAATTGAAAGTAAGCAATCTACATCCCGAAAATCTACTGATTTGCCGTAAAAAATTGCAGAAACTTGATATACCAGGTCGATGCACCCACTCGTTGAATTTACCAACCAATTTTGTGAGTGCAAATGTGTAAGAATCAATATGCTATAGTCATTTTGGGTGCATTTATTTTTCATGAAACAATAATAATTTCAATCCCGAAAAACCATCAATTTTCCGTATAAAATCGAAAAAATCAAAATATGTCAACTCCCCGACGTGAAAATTAGATTCTACGTATGTAAAATGTAAATACTTATGTATCGATATGCTGAACAGAACTATGTGTGGACAGTCAGAAGCCCGCGGCAACATTAATTCAACAGAAAAACTGTAAAAATTAGATAGGATTTTAGCCGCTTTGCCCGCCTCTCCTCGCTACTTACAACAAACCGTTCTTATACTCATCTCAAAATTTTTCTCAGAGCTTTGGGTTATTATCAGCTTCCATTTAAACTCCGGTTCGATGGCCGAATCGGCTGCCAAAAAAGCAAGCCACTGTTGAGGGGTTCTATGAGAAATTCGTGATATTATCGGCTCTCAGGAAATCACCCCATGGCTAAAATTGGTGGTATAAATGTTTAAGTGCTTAAAATAATCGTATTCAAGAAACTAAGGAATTAAACTATGGAGTCAATTTCTTTTTAATAATATAACGAATTTACTACCGGTGATTTAGCTATTATAGCCCCAGAATACTTTTAAAGCGCCTTTGCGTTCCAGAATCTCGACGGAATTTTTTTTTTTTTTTTTTTTGCTTAAACGATTCAAGAAACATTGTAGTTAAAAATATAAAGATTTTTCGATTTGGACGTATGAAAAATGTTTAACTCGTTCAGGCACACCGTGTATTGTATGGAGTACTGCTGTTATTCGACCGTTGTCTTCAGGTCAAAATTCTTACAAAGAAGCCCCTTGCAAGAGGCAAATTTTTTGTAATTTCTCCCAGTTTTTTCAGCGTTAGGTATATAAATGAATTGTTTGTCAAATTTTGAGGTCAATTATATTTAATTGTAATTTATACTTTCTTTTTTTCCCCTTCATTTTATTTTTCGTATCGAGGAGTCGAGGTTTTGTTGATTTCTTCGGATTTCGATTACTGTAACTTCTCTTCTATTCGGCCGATTTTTATGAATGAGGTCTCTTTTTATTTGTGTTTTAACGGAGAGTAAGGAAAAAATTGCTAAATACATGCGAAACAATTTTTTTTGAAAATTGGATGAATCCTAGCGTGACGGTGAAATGGTTAATGAAGCGTGAGTAATTGGGGTACGGGTATCGGCCGCGTTGGGACCCAAGGCCCATTGTTCTTCGTGACGCCGACGCAGTGATCAGGAGCGTGGGGACGAGAGGGCTTAGTGGACTCCTGTATGAGCCACGTTTAGCAAATGGTCTAATGAGTCTCGAGGCTCATCACAGATTGCACTTACCACTATCCTGGTGGCCCCGGCTATCAGAGCAAGGAGTACCAACTTTTGAAAAGGATAACAGTGTTGTGGAGATATGTCAAAGCAACGTTGTGAACAAAACGGAGTGAGTGAAATTCTCATTCAAGGAGTGCCGAACTGGTCAGCCATCCTCGAATCAGTTCGCTTGCTTCCGCTTATATATGCATATTTTAAATCAGCGCGCCCCATTCTAAGGTTTTTTTAAAAAAAACCAAGAAACGTAGACTCTTGGTATTCATTACACATAAACTAGCGAGCCCCAGAATGAGAAACAAATTTTAATCATTATTATTGACGGATTAGTAAACTTTTTACACGCTTTGGAAAATCTCAGAAGTTCGCGGTAGTCACTTTTCGGTAAGGAACTAGGGGACTCGGTTATTGTATCGAGGGGGGGGTCGAAACGATCGCAAAGGCGGTATACTACGTATACGCGCCAAAAATAAGAAGGACCATGTATGGAATACAAAAAAATTTGGTGCTGGCTAAATTTTGATACCTTTAATATGATGTTCATTACGACCACCTAGACACCATGCACTTTTAAATTAAACTATTTATACGCTGACCTCGAGAAATCAGGGCTGTAAAGTGTATCTTCGGCAATTTTACACATTTCCTCTAGTAGAAATGTTGCGACATCTTATTGATAATTAAGTAAATATTTTGTTTCCTTGCAAGCCAAGAAGGTAAGACAGACAAAAATAATTAAATTCCTCTAAACGATATGAGTGTGTAGCAAAAGCCCTGCTTTTCTCAAGGTTTTCATTTAATAAATTTACCCTGCGTCTTTCTTAAAAATTGAACCAGTCGTTTGTATTAAATTATACATGGAATGTGAAAATTGACGCTTGATTTAATTAACCAATAACTGAGATTAACACAGCGCTTAATCTATTGCCTTTTAGCAATTATCCATTGAACCAACTACATAACTAAATTTTGTAGCAGTATTAACCTTTTTCTATTTTGAGTTTTGTTTATCAGTTTTCAGTAAGTTGTATTTTTCTTTTTTGGAATAAATCAGGGAATCTCAAGCTTGTGATAATTTTTCCCCTTTTTACTATCATTCATTTCTGTTTTCAGGCTACTGGATGATGCTGCAAGTGATATTGAAGAAGCTTTACATCTGGTGCCGTTCAGCAATAAGCAAGTTCATCACGCTCTAAGGAAATTGCAAGATGACATCAAAGTTATGAGTCGCCAAACTTCTATTGGAAATTTCAGCCAGTCAGAAACAAGCCTTTAATTTTGTTAAAATAAGTTATTTTTATCTCTCATAGAAGGTGCTTTTTTTCTCTGTTTGGAGATATTAATCATTGAATATTTTTATTGTTACAAAAAGTATGACCGAACGTTTGGAAAAAAATAACATTTTTCCCCTGCATTTACTCAAAGCTCCAGAGATTGTTAGTTTTGCTCTTAAATTTTATCCTCTTGCGTATATTTTTGTGAAAGAATCTGATTAATTTGTTCCTATCTATTTTTCTCATAACTTTTTAAATAATTTTTTTTCTGAAATTTATTTTGAACTGTTTGTTTTGTAACTTGAATTGTGCCTCTTAGCTAATAAGGTCTGAGTCAATGAAGTAATCTTTAATTTTTACTGGGTTCCTTCTGTCAAAGATTCCAGGACCGGTTCTACCAACTTCAGTCTCTGGTCAAATGTAATCTCTTGTCCTAGCAAAACTTAAAATGCCATTTTTGAGGCTTGTACATATGATACATTTAATGGTCCGACTTTACATGATGAGACATTTTAAAACTGAGTCTTAACCTCTGGTTAATATTTATCAGGTACTGAAAGTACGTGTCAAATTTTAGGTAGAGGCTAAACACACAACAAGAGGTGATGAATCCAGACTTTCAGAGATGACAAGGGCATTTAATTTCTTGAGTGCTATTTTAAGGCTCTATTTTGGAGGAAAAAAAGAAGTTGATTTTGAAGGCGTGTTTTTTTCTGAATAGATTCTATTTTTTCTTATTTTTAATGCTGTAATATCTGAACTTGATTTATTTATTGTGTTAATTGCATCAAAATGTCTATCTTTGCCCTATTTTCCTGTTGATAAACCAGCTAGTTTTTAGCTCCTCGCATTAATATCTCTCTGAGATGGCAAATGAAAGTGGCAAAGAAAGTTTTCCTTGTGCCTTTTCTGTTTGTGAGATGTGATTTTATTTTTTTTCTACGTTAAAATAAATTTTAGACTGATTTTTTATGTACTAATTTTGTTCTTATTTTTACTGGTCTAGAAACCTCTTTTAACAAATGCTTGACACATTTTATGGCATTCGTATTTTCTTGGCATCCCAAAAAACATGAAAAAATTAAGTCCATTGATAAGTCCAAAAATATTCGGCCAAATCATCAGACATATTTTCATTCACCAAACATATTTGGATTAGCTGATCAGCGAAAATTCGCGCCCAAAATAGGAGATTCAGCCTTTACAGAAAATGAGATCCCTCCATTCCTAGTGCTCTCGTGAAAACTACCAATTATATAGAAACTGACTGCAAATGAGATATGTGACCTGTTCTTACAACTTTCTTTCCTGATATTTCAAATTCTCACATTGCAAATTATTTACTCATCATCATATCTTTTGCATCCAATGAAAATGAAAATTTCTAGGCACTGCCGTTTTAGTATTTAAAGTAGGTATGCTGTAAAGTGGGTGTTCCCACTGCCAAAAACCACTCTCTATCGATGAAATTGGATCACTAACTTTAAAACTTCATACTGGTGCAAGAAAAGAAAAACATCACAGAATTTAAAAGAGAATTTATTCAAATCATAATAAATTAATTCTGCCAAAACAGAATAGCAGAAAATAATGAGAAAAGCTTTCAAAGGCAAACAATCATACTTGAATGGTCAAAAGGAACTTTTGACAGGTCGTAACTTTTTTTAATTCTTACGTCAAAAGTTTTGGTTTGGATCAAATATAGAGTTTCATCAATATAGAGTTTTATTAAGTTCATGAGATCATTTCTACATGTTTTTCATTCTTAATTGCTGCATTCTAAATTATTACAGTGAACTATTCATTCTATATTCTTTTGAATTTATGAGAAGCTGCTCCAAGCCGAGGAAAAGGAAGCCAGGGCAAAGGAAAGAAGTGGTACGGTCCATTTTTGTAGATTCTTAAAGGTGAGAAATCAAATATTAGATTTGAAAAAATTAGGTGCTTTAGTAAAGCATTTCTCTCCGATAATATATTCACATAGTTCCTACTTATTTTCATAGAGGCAAATCACCTTTTCTTTACAACTAAAATTAAAATTTCCAAAAAAAAAATAAAAAATTATGTAACCCCTTACTTATTATCCCAGATAAATCACAGATTAAGAAATCACTTAGGTATTCTAAAAACTTAGTCTAAAGGGGATATTTTGTTGCTTTTTATAATTTCTTCCCTAGATATGATTAGCAGGGAAGCCATCTCAGGAGCTTGATTTACTCACAATTTACATTAAAAAAAAAAAAAAAAAAAAAAAAAAAACCCTGAAATCAGATTGGTCTAAAAATTTCATTTTAATGGTCCGAGAAGAAATTATAATTGAAAAAGAAATCAATTTGAACTCAAATGATCTTCAAGAGTTGCTTTCTAGCTTTTGCATCGGTTTTAATTGCAATGTTAGAGATATAGCATACATATTCCCTGATACCGCATCATCACCTGTACAAGGAAATGAAAAGAAATGACTTTAAGGCCAAATGTTTCTTTTTGTTTCCCTGAAAGTTCTGCCTTGCAAATTAAGGGAAGTTTCTCTGTATTACAAGGTTCCATAAAATGAATCCTATAATGTACGGTTTAACAGATATCATAAAATAGGTGCACTGGAAATGATAGTTTGCTATTTAGGTATTCTATTGGCACAATTGACCTGAAATTTTAAAACAGAAGCTGCTTTGTGATTATTTAAAGCGAAGTTGCATACTTCATTGATGATCATTACCATACCTTCCTGACGCAGCTCTCATGAGTTTTTATCTGCTTCTTTGCTGGAGGATGATGAAACTTTTTTCAAGCAAGAGGCACTCTCTTCCTTCTTTTCATCTATTTCATCTTTTTGCTGTGACTGTTCTTTTTGTAGTCTGGCATGTTCTTCTTTGACCATTTTTTCTAGTTCACTCTGAAAAAGTATAGAGGATTTAAAGATCAATTTTGCTTGGTAACAAATTTTCCTGCAAAGAAGAGGTTTCTTTGAGTGACAAACCGTCTTCTTAGTCTAATATGCATATCGATAGGTATGGAACAATACATACTGGCATAACTGATAATTTTGGCGAAAATGAGAAGGTGACTTCACCGCATTCTACAGTATAAAATACGCAGGCCAATATTTTTAGTTCTTTCCTATTCCACATAGAGGTGCTGTAATGACGCTGAAATGTTACAAAAATTGCAAACGTAACCTCAAAATCACAAAAATGGCAAAGTTCTTTCTTCCTCCTGAAAAATCTGCAGTTTGCAGTTAGGTGTTAGTGTCTTAACCAACACAGATTTATATGTTATTGGCTCTCTCCTGCTGACAGCAAATGATGAGTCCTTGATTATAGTCCACACAGCAACAGAAAAATTAAAAAAGTACCGATGGAAGTTAACAATACCCAGGCAAGCACAGCGTGTTCTTTTTTCTTTTCATTGATATGCTGATTTAAAAGAGGGCACAAACATAAGGTGATTGGACTATAATCAAGGACTCATCATTTGCTGTTAGCAGGAAAGAGTATTGATGGCTAAAGAACAATAACATCTATCTGCAAACTGATGATTTTCCAGGAGGAAGAAAAAACTTCATCATTTTTGTGATATTGAGGTTACATTTGCAATTTTTGTAACATTTCAGAGTCATTACGGCGCCTCTATGTGGAATAGAAAAGAACTAAAAACATAAGCTTGCGTATTTTATACTATAGGATGTGAAGGTGATTGGACTTTCTTGCAAACAACAAAACCAGGTCATACTCAAGTGACCTAGCCATTTTCATTTCTATGACGGTGAATAAGTGAAAAATATTTTTTACATTAAAAGAGCATCAAATCTGAGTTTTTTTCCTGATCGAGCTCCCTGCCAAAACATAGCAATTTCTCTGAACAAAATTCTAGTTGTTCTATATAGATACTTTGAGTGAAAGATCTCAATCCTTTTTCAGATATATTCCAGAGAAAGTACACTATTGCAACAGTGTCACAAGTATGGACCAGTCGGGATACCATCCCTAATTCTTACAGGTATCTATGAATATTGAACATTACTTCCTTCTGTAGCTACAAAAATATGGTGGTAATATATTTAAAAATGAAACAACTTCTGTATAATTTTTTATGCCCGAATGAATAAATGAAATACTCTTGTAAGGGTGAAAATAATACATGATGAGAGTATGTATTGCTTCATCGTTGAAGATGATAATTTTTGAGAGATACATCGTGTAGATTTACATGATGAGAGTATGTATTGCTTCATCGTTGAAGATGATAATTTTTGAGAGATACATCGTGTAGATTTTAATCAGAGAATACATGAACGAGAATGAAGGCTTATAAATGGAGACTTACCTTCCATCCTAATTTATCTGCAAATTCAAGGCAAATATCATCACAGTCACCCAACCAGGCGACATCAGTAGTGTTTTGTGGCTCATTGAATTTCAAACCACCTGATAATAATCCTAAAAATGCTAATGCTGGATTCCTGGCTCCAACTTTTTCTCTGTTGATTAACAACCGTGGACAGTCTTTTGGCACTCTGAAAAAAAATTGAGGACTGTTTTAAGGCTCAATCCAAAAACACAGCTATTCCACTTTATTGACCTTTTTTTTCTTTTTTTTTGAAACTTGAAAATTGGGTGGGCTCATTAGAATTACGTATTTCTTGGTTGTCCAAAATCATCTCTCAGACCAGTATATTTATGAATGTAAAATATGACATGATGAAGAATTAACTAACATGACGATGGTGAAACGGCAGAAATGTGCATCAGGGGCTAACGGAGTTCCTGTCATACATACCTACTTTGTTTCTTCATGGAAAGCTACTAAAGGTAATTTTTCGAAAACTTTGATGCTTTTTCTTCTCCATGTAAAGAATATTCTATGAAAACTTCAAACCGTCGTATTAATTTGGTCTCTTTTAAAAAGTAAAATAGGAGTCAACATTTTGAATCATCGCAATGGAAATACACATTTCTGCGGTTTCACCATCAATAAGCTTTTTGGCTCCATTTATTTGTACAGAAAAAACTTGTTGTATACAAAACACAATGATTGGATTGCTATTTTTCTGATACCTTATCAAAGCATGTCCACTACCAAGTGAATAATCCTCCTTGAGTACACAACTGGCTCTTTACATAGTTTTATTACAGTAAAATACAAAATACAGAAATTTGGTCAACTTACTTGTCTACTAGCGTACAAAATGGCTGTACAACCAAGGAAGATCCTAGTATTATTAACAAGTCACAAAGGGGAAAGTCCTCCATGATACTGTGGAAAAATTTGGGAGGCAAATTCTCTCCGAAGAATACAATATCTGGTTTTACAACTCCTTCACAGTCCTCACATTTTGGTATTACTTCTGTCATTACAAACTCTAAAAAAAGAAAAAAAGAAATTTTCATATTCATAAAAAAAACTGAACGTTTTAAAGGTAGGAAAATGCTGAATTACCTAGAGTTGTTCCATAATTTAAGCAACTTTGGCAGAAATTTTGCGTTAGGAAGAAGCTGAACAGCATAGTTACCTGGATATAGTTCACAAAGAGCTACATATGAAAATGATAGGATTGATGAATTTAGACAAATTGAAATTAAGTACATATGATAAATTAAAATGTTATAAAAGGAGTAAGCATTGTGCATTATCTCTTAATGGGTCTGTTGCAAACTTTTTCTAGAGCAAAAATAAGAGTTGTTTCCTATAGATAATGCCTCAAAAATCACGATGAGGTGAACATTTTGTTAGAGGAGTCGCTCCATCGTCAGCAATATTCATCATGGCCGACGCTTGCGCAGTTCCGCACGTAATTCAAGGAGAGTTCAAGGTCAATCAAGGCAGGCGAGGAAAATATGAACGTAAACACGCCGATTGTTATCTGGTCTAATCCTGTTCAGGTGTTATCTTGTCCCATCACACGTTTTTTGGCGGATTGACGTCGGCCACGATGAGTATTGCCGACAATGGAACGACTCCTCTAACAAAATGTTCACCTGTGCCGTAGTATCGTTTTTGAAGCAGGAAGCTCAAAAAACCGTAAATTTCTTGCGCAGATTGTGAAGTTATGAGTGCATTTCAGACTTTGCCGATGCGCTCATAATGATTTTTGACGCAATATCTATAAGAAACAACTCTTAGTTTTGCTCTAGCAAAAGTTTGCAACAGGCCCATTGTGAAGGACCAAGCCCCTGCCTATTGAGCATGTAGCCCTTGATAATTTAGGCATGAGAGTTGACCAGTAAATGGACCCCTATACACGGTAGAAATTTAGGCATTCTAATGCATGTTCCCTCCTTAAATTTAACGTGGAACACAATTCGTGCGAGTTTTCATTCTTACAACGTTTCAGCAGTACAAAAGTTATGTTTCTTTAAAGAATAAGTTTTCCCTCTCATCTCAAGGTACACTGAAAAAAAGTTTTGTCATATGAACCGAACATTCAGTGTTCCACATCATCCTAAATATTCGGTTTGACAAATTGAATAGTCTGGGTGATTCGAAACACTGAATGTTCGGTTCACAAAACCAGACTTTTTTTCAATGTAGAAAGTAATCTTTAATGGAGGTAAAAATGAAGAAAGATTAATGTAACTTGAAGGGAAGGCTTGAGGCTATCTACCATTCCATAGCTGCACTTTTTTAGAGGTTTTTTTCTTCTATTAACTTCTTTAAATTTAGAATAAGAATTAAAAATAATCTACTTACACCTTCAAAATACATAAATAAAAGCAATTTTAGCAGTGAAGAATTTTTTACCTTTCCCACTTGCTGGTTACTTTGACCAGTGGTCCCAAATGAGAACACTTTAACAGTGAAACTGCAAAAATGCGTATTTCGATAGGGATGTTTCAACATCTCTGCTCTTATTTTACTTACTTATTAAAGGAGATCATCAGGGTTTTAAATTTTTACGAAATATTTTCTAAATAGAGAGAAAAAATCACCAAAGTTTTAAAGAAATTTTCGATACAGTAAATAAAGTATGATAGGAAGTCCACAACGCCACAAACCATATACATATTTCTGCAGTCTCACTATCTACTTGCTTTCAATACCCTCAGGATACATGAATAAAGTTTTTGCCATTTATTACCTTTCATCCATGACAATGAGTATTCTTTTCTGCAGTCTATGCAATGGGAGGTGTAAAATGTGCCATGAGCTTCAACAATTTTTTCCTCAGGTATACCAGCTACTCTTTCTAATGTGTCTATATTCTGAACAAGAGAAAAAAACATGCCTTCATAAAGAGAAAAAGATAGTCAATATTTGAAATGAAATTAACGTTAGAACAGAGGCGTGAAATAAAATGATTGTGTAACAGAAATATTGTTTCTTCTTGACATACAATTTTTTGGAAAAATTCTACTTAAAGACTCAAAAACTTTTGAAATTTTCGATATAATACATTCAATTTATTTTTCCCTCTGAAAACAATATTACATATTGTGTTACTTTCCTATGACTCGAAATTTGAAAAAATTAACCTGCTCAGATTACCTCCTACTTACAGGGTATCTACTGAGGTCCACAAAAATAAAATAAGTACTTTTAAAGTACTTTTTAGGTACTTGAGGAAAAATTTAAGTACCTCGCCTTGGGGAAAAATTAATTACATTTTAAGTACCTTTTCGCGACGTATTGGCAATTCTTCGATTTTGACACTGCCGCGCACTTTACTTCGGCTATTCCCGTGGCCTTTTCGGCTGTTTCCGACAAATCGAGGGAAATGCCTTGTTCTGATCCTCTACAACAACCGCGCTCTTACGGGCTGACATTGTACGAATACGCCAGACGGCCAATGCACAGAGGGTTGCATAACTATCAGGCGATCGAACTAAACGCACAGCACAAAATACGAAAAATTATGGACCTTCCGTGAGATTTACGTACTTTTAAGGTGCTTACGGACCGACCTTAAAAAAGCGTGCTTCTTCCAGACTTTACGGACTGGTAGACACCCTGCTCCTTTCAAACCCTTTCGAGTTTTTACAGAGGACAGCTTGGCTTCATAAAATAATACATAATCTAGGTTTTATACCAAATTTAAGAGAACTCAGTTCAGAGAAGAACTGAGAATAGGTACAAGGTAAAATTATCACAAACCTGAGTATAATGTCGCAACAGCAGATTCTTTTCATGCAGTAATCGAATGAGGTAATGTGAAGGTGTTGGTTTAAACATCCCAGGGAACAGTTCCTTGGCGAGGGAGAAAAATGGCTGAGGGTTTGACTGGAAGTAATTGATATCAAATATAGCATCTGGGTAAGGGAGGTTGTACTTCTGCAAATTGTGATAAAGGCCAGAGCCTTTTGAGCGGAAGTCAGGTATTCCAGCAGCTGTAACAGGCAAAATATTAATCAAACATAAAGTTACGAACTTTTCGCAATTCATCACTTCCTTTTTCTTTTAGGGAACATATTGACGGTGTAAGTCGGCAATCACATAACTCGGTTTGCGACGTCGCAGACTTCCTGTCATACTATATTTTTTAAACGGCAAACTACTCAATGGCAATTCGTTAAAACTGCCGTGATTTTTCCTCTCTGTGCGAAGAAAATTCTGCAAAAACTTCAAGGAATGACGTCAATTTGTTCTCCTTTTAAAAAATAACATAGAGGCGGAGATTTTCAGACACCGTAAACGAGTTATGTGATTGCCGACTTACACTGTCCATATGTCTACATAGACTTTTGTCCATCTTCTTTAGCAAGCTGCAAGAGGTGACTGGTGTTAGTCATTTGTCTCTCCTTCTTTCATGATCAAAGCAAATAAGCGTAATTTGTTGAAGCTTTTTCTGAATGTTCTTTTAGATTTTACAATTCTCTAAGCAAAAAATTCCAAAAAATTCACCCAGTAGTTTCCTCTGTGAAACACACAGGAGCAGTGAACCTGCATTTGAGAAGTGCCTCTTCTGCACCTAATACCTTCATTTTTTGTGCGAAATACAACAATAAATTGTTGGCAGCAGTAAGGGAGGGTTGTAGATGTGACGGTTGAGAAGTGATTTAATTGAACTTGTACAGAAAAAAAAGAGAAGTTTTGAAAGACCATCTAACAATTCATAATATTTCTTCAATATCAAAAATATTGACCTCATTTTTGGGAACATCCATTCCCTACTGGGCAGCTTCAAGAGCATGATTGTTATTATTAGTTTTAATTTTGTTTGACTCGCTAGGTATTACATTGTAGGTAAAATAGGAGGGCCATCTGGAAAGATTAGCAAATTTTGATTTCTTTTCAGCAACTATCAGTGCCAGACAAAATACGATTATAATATTAAAGTAATTGTGATACTCTCACTTTGGGTTGAAGTACCTGATGCAAGAGTAGTTCCAGCCAAAAAGAAAAAGGAGTAGTTCCTGGCTGCTTGAGCAACGAAGGCTTTTTGTCGGTACGCCACACATGCATACCAATTTCTCCTTTAATTCTTCGCTCCCTCTCTGATGAGGAAGAATCCAACACAACCTTCTTCAAACATCTTGAGAGGTTTTAGAAACTTCTCCTCCACAACAGAAAAAAAAGAACAACAACAGACCATCGTTTGAGAGCAAGTGATTTAGATGCGGGAATGGTGTAAAGTTGCCAAATAAGAACTTACATGTTGATATGCCAGCACCAGCTAGAGTGATAATATTTTTGCATTTTTTGTCCTTGATAAACTTAATGATACCATCGATAGAGACTTCATCCAGTACCTAAAAAAAGAAGAAATCCGGGTAAGGAAGGTATCTCAACAATCAACAGATAAAATCAATCAATTTACCTAGAATTTGTGCTGAGATTTATTTGGCTTGATCTAAAAAATTGATTCTAGGGTGGAGGCTGTAGTATTTTACCTACAGATTTAGAAAATTTAGAAGAAAGAATATTTCGACGGTGTTAGTCGGCAATCGGTGTCTGAAAATCTCCGCCTCTATGTTATTTTTTCAAAAGAGAACAAATTGACATCATTCTTTGAAGTTTATGCAGAATTTTCTTCGCACAGAGAAGAAAAATAACGGAAGTTTTAAAGAATTGCCGTTGAGTAGTTATCCATTTAAAAAATAACGTATGACAGGAAGTCTGCGACGACGCAAACCGAGTTATGTGATTGCCGACTTACACCATAGATTTACTACTTACCGATTCAGAGTTTTCTTCTGGTTTGACTCCAACGTTCAAACTCGCGAAACGTTTGTAAATTTCATCCTCTTCATCGGATGATGATCCAGGAGATTCTACTTTTGGTTTGACACTGCTCACTTCAGTACCTGAAATTTAAGAAATAATGAGACATGGAAAATGTGAGCGAGATGGAAAAAAAAATAGTTGTTCTAGAGTCAACTATGACACTTGAGAATCACAGAAAATTATGTGCAGTGATGATGATCACTCATGATTCAAAAATTGGTTTGTGGCTGAAAATTCTTGGTGTTACAACCCAAGAGACTTGTTTCGGAATGTAACATTCTACATGTATCATGTCTACCAAAGTGAGAATGCATTCCAAATCTCAGTAAGTTAAAAAAGTAGCACTCATGGAAAATTTAGGGACTGCATTTTCCACAACAAATCCTCAGACACTTCTACTTCTTTCAACAATATCTACACAGTCTATGACTTAGCATTACTCTCCCTCTGTCTGTTCAAGCACACTCACAAAGTGTTTTCCGCAAGCCAGTAAGTAATTGGAAATTAAAGTCGGCACCACACGATATAGAAACACGATTAATCACATGGTTAAAATGGGGCTTTGACATGTCTCATCATGCCAACATGGTTTCAATAGTCGCCCTGCAGATCGGTATACTTATTCAAATTTGGGTCGAAGCTCCAATCTTCTTCTTTGGGATGTGCCTACAACTAACTCAGAAAAATTGTAGCAGCCAGTCACCCAGAGTTTAAAGTTCCCGCCAGAGTCAGAGTCGAGAGAGCGGTGGGAACAACAGCGAACCTAGTGAGTAGAGAGAGAGAGTAGGTATCGTTCTCGAGATCGTGATCTCGAGCGGGTCGCATTTCCTTCTTGTTTCAAAGATGTAAGTTTCTTGTTTTTGGGTTCACCCCTAGAAGGGGTGAATTGCCTTCTTTTCCGTTTTTCGTTCAAATGTCTTAGTGCCGAGTGTGGAGTGTGCGGGGTGGCCGCCGGGCCATTTCCTTTTCATCCTAAAAGTGTTTGTCCTCCTTTGAAGTCATCTTTCCGGACGAGCCACGAAGGCTCGTTCCGGCTAGCCTTCGTGGCTAGTTCGGAAATTGTAGTAGTAGTCCCCGAGTTCTGAGCAGTTCAAAATCAGTACATTTTGCTTAAATCCTCTTAAAAGATCTGTCGACGCATCTGCATTTATAAATGGAAAAATATTGCTCCACACAGGACTGGCAAAATTGAGCCCGTTTCAGAAAACTTTGTCTCTATCCCTGTGTGCTCAGATAGTATGATATGACTCCATACACTGCGCATATAGCGAAAAAGGCAAATTTGTCCGAGACTAGCTCTAATTCCTAATTTATTGCAACAGGGACAGACCCTACAATGGACTTAAAATACTTTTGTCCAATAAAGAGTAGGTACACTATTATGTGTAATTACTTAAAAAAATTTAATGCTTGACAACACCACTAATAAGTATCTTACATCAATCAATCTATCAACAACTTACTTGATGGCGAAGTCATGATGATGCTGTCAAAGAACTTCCTACATCTAAAAAGAAAACCGACCCAACGTTGAGCTTTTATTTTGAAAAAGTTAAATTTTCTGTGTGACGGTCACTCAAAAATCACTGATAATGTTGTGGCAAACACGAGGGGGGCACGGTACAATTCTGTGTGTGATCACGAAGTAGTATTTTTATAATGATAGAAGTGTAAATCAGAAGTAGATGTAATTCACTATCAGAGAAATCATGCAATCTAAATGCAAAGAATCAAAAAATATGCAATGGCAAGCAAATGGCATTTATGGCAAATGCAATTAATGCAACTCAACGATGATAATTGATAAGAAAAGTCGAGAGAGTGGGGTAGGGGTAGGAGGAGGAAGAGCAGGGCAGGAGGGGTAGCTGAAACTGAAGTTACTAACTAACCTGAAAAACTCAACTCTTATCAGCTGCGTGATGTTATCAGTACATTTAGTAGATTTTGTTTTGGTGGCATGTTGTTGTCCCTCCCTCGTTATCTAAAATTTTTATTTTTAAACCGAAGCCAAGTGCCAAAATCAACTGCTGAATTCTTACTTATGTGGGTGAAATGACTCTCTGAAACATTTGTGAAGTTTCTTAAATAATAATGACTGCTCCAGATTGTAGAGTTTCTGATTACATGCAAGTGTTTTGTTCATGGAAAAGTGCCTCAAAAAGTATAGCAGATTGTATCAAAATTCAGAGGAATAGGTTTGTCAGCTTTCCCTAGCTTTTTTTCCATGTATAAAATAATTATTACCTACTCTAGTTTAGGTAAGTTTTATCTGTGCACCCTCGATTGGTTTCTTTTGGGAGGTCCACTTAGTGATCCAACACGGGTTTTTGCTGCACTGCTCTCAATGTAGCGTCATGCATGAGTGAATTGGTCTTTTATCCAACATTTGCAATGTTCTTACACAAGAAATGATGCCAAAAACACTCTGTCATGATCTTCTAATATCATGATCATGTGATCTCTCGCTACTTTTCTTTGAATCGTAATTTAAATACGATATTAGTTAACTGAAAATAGATACCAAAACGGAACATTTTCCCTGCAAAGTTACACTCTGCTATAGATGCTCCACATAAGATTGTGTAGGGTTAGTTTAGTATTCTATCAGATTTGATTTGCGGTCATGAAGACAAATTTCCCCTGCAAAATCAAACACTTTTAAATTGAGAATTTAAGCCTCCTCAAGCTTGAAAAAAGAATTCTCAAATTTTAGACTTATCTCTAGAAATAAGTTCACTTGTCTTTTGAAATTAGGTTTCTAGAGCTCGCGCATCGTGTGTTGAGACAAACGTCAAAGTATTGCTTATGTCACCGTTCACCAGTGGTGCCACCTGACTACATGTACCTATTGACCTGTTGAGTGGTGCGAATTCAGAGCTAATCGGAGATTGACGTTTGTCTCAACATACGATGCGCAAGCTCTAAATCCCTCCAGATCATTGATGAATCCATGCTTACCCTCACAGTAGTCATTTTATTTCCTTGTAATGGAATTATTATTTTTTTCAGTTCCAAAGTTTCCTTAGATGATGTCGTTGACTTTGAAAGATGCATACAATTATTTGCAAATGATAGTTCAGGATTTGCACCTTGCACAATCAATTTTAAATTGGAAAATAACTGGATGATCACCAAAATTGCCATAGCTTCTGAGGTATGTACCATCTGTGTTTTTACCTTCCAGCTTGAATTTCAATGAATTCTTTGCCAGATTGTTAGAGTCCACGCCAAATACATTTACGCATCTTTAGACTGTGACAGGAGATGATCTGTTATCACTTCTTTATGTGAAGTAAATGGAAAAATCAAGATGGCAGATCTTCTGTGGCAGTCTAAAAGTGCGCTAACTTATTTGGCGTGGACTGGTCGTTTTCATCCAAGCTCTTTACTTACAATATAGCTGGATCAATTTTTTGTGAGGTAATCTTATCGAAAAGAAAAAAATTGCTGGGAATACCTATGTCCATTAATGTATTTTTCTTCTTCCTCTTTTCCAATCGAAATGGAAAATTTATTTCATTAAGTGTAACACTGAATGAAAAAGGAAGAAAACTTAACATACAGGGTGTCCTAGACTACCTGTGCCAGTCTTTTTTGAGAGAAGATAATTTGCCACCTTAAACATTTTTACTTGATACCAAATACCTTACCCGCTTAATAAAAGGACTTAACTACAATACGCAATAAACGCTGCCGTCTATATAACTCAGTGCTTTCCCGCCCTCATCTCTGAATGTAGTTAAACCCTTTTGTCAGCCGAGCAATGAATGATGGTCATTAAGGAATGTAAACCAATGTTAAAATTTTCTCTCTCAGAAACCTTTGCTGATAGCTTACAGTGATAACTTTCCTATCCTTCTATGACCCCCTCTTCCTTTGATGGCTACAAATTTTGACTCAATATTTATTTTTCCATATTTTTCACTTTTTTAACTTTTTTTTATTATAAATTATTGCTAATTTTATACCTACTTCATTTTTTTAGGCTAAAATATTTGAACTTTATGGCTCAGGGGAGGAGTACATAGGGACTCATCATGCTGAATATATCGATACTATCGAAGATATGGAAGTATTCTTAACTGAAATGGATGTTGCTCTAGCCAATGAATGTACATTGAAGGTAATGATTTCAATCCTTTTTATCACTTAATAGTGATAAAAAAATAAAGGAAGTACTTGAAATTTCAACTGAAAGTTGAACAGTGTCTTGACATAGATTATAGATATAATTTTTTTGATGATGCATTCTTCGGAGATATTAATCAGTAGACTGAAGATTGGACACATGTCGAGCTTCTGTGTACTTTGATTATAGTCTACAACATGAAAAGTGGCAGCTAAGGGGCTGAGCTAGTGACTTTGCTAGTGGCTTGAGATATTCCTTTAAGTTTTAAACGTGGGTATATTCTGAGCATCTGACCAGGTCAAAAATGGCAGAACGTACGTCTGGATGACTTTGGTAATTAATAGTTAAGGTATTTGCGTAATTATAAAGGTGAAAAAGGTATGAAACTAACCAGAATAATGGTTTGGTAGAATGGAAGATTCCTAGACATGAATATGGGATGTCAGTAATTGAATGTTCAGAAGGACCAGGGCCTCAGGCAACTGAATAAAAAAACCTGAATGGCTTGTTCTAGTCTTACGAAAAAGTTTTACTAGTATGTTTACCGATTATTTATTTTTTCTTTTTGTTACAGCTTGCCAAGACAAAAAATAGAAACTGTATGTGGGTATATGGAATTTACATCTCAGTTGCTGAGTTGAACCCCAGTCCAACGAAACCAGGATTGGACCTAAATAAAGTAGAAGAACGTTTGAAAACGTCAAGCCAACCTTTGACGGACAAAGCATTCAAATGTAAAGAATTTTTGAAGATGTACAATTCAAACTTGCCTAGTATATCACACACTAAAGTTCCTGATCCAATACTCATTTTAAAGATGTTGGAAGGTGAATTTCTGAGTTCCTTGCTCTCTCAATCAGATAGTTCTAATGGAACTAGTCCGTTTCCCCTTAGCTCTCTTCTGTCTAAAGATTCTCACCACACCGCTTCCTCCGAACGAAGAAACAGCCATTCTTCTGCTCAAGAAAGTGGCCTTTGCTCTGAAAATGAATTTGCCATGGCACAAACTGAGTTAAAGTATTATTTGGATAAGAAAATGATGATGCTTGAAAATAAGTTGACGGCGATGATAAATTGTAAACTCAAATCAGTAGAAGAAAAATATTCATCAAAAGTGGATAAAATTCTTGATTTACTAGAAAAAATGAACTGTGTTCCTGAATAATAAATTATTTACTTTGCCTCACATCTAATTTTTTTTCAGTTTTCAAAGGTAAAATGCTACCGGACTCCTAATAGAAACAGCAGCCTGAAAATAATTTTCCAAAAATAGTTGTGTAATGCATTTATTTACAAAATATTTACAAAAACAAGCATTTGCGAGTCTAGGTGATAACTGCGAAAGTGATGAGAATTTACAAATCAAATTTACAAAGAAAAATTAAAATAAAAAAAGAAAAGAGTTTGTTACTTAAAATTTAATTTATGAAACAAAGAAAAAAAACTTAAATTAAACATCCTGAACAAATTTTTATCATAAAATCTAAAATAAAAGGACAACAATTGAAAAGACAATTAACATAGAAAAGACCTGATCACTTACAGAGGATAGTCATAGGGCACATTTACTTCGTTGAGTTGAAAACATCTAGGGGCACAAAATTTAAAGTGGAGAAGAAATACAACTTTGTTTAATAGTTTCAAGTGTAAAAATTGGACTTATCCCTTTTCAAGAAAAACCACTTTACACATGGGCATGCCAAGTTGAATATTAGACATTTCATAAAAAGCCAGAGTATAGAGTTTTGACGTTCACTCCTTCTTCCGCATGATTTGAAAAAAAATTATCATTCTATTACGATATCATCCTCCTTTCTTGTTATAAAAAGGGAAAGATTGAATCATTAGAAAAGTTGAAATTCACAGGCATATCATAAATACAATTAAATGTGATGAAACGTATTTGATTGAGGAAATATAAAGAGAGGAGCATATCATCCAATTGTGGGTGTGTAGAAGAGATTCACTGAGAGTTATGTCTTTTCCGGATTGGAAGCTTTAAGTTTTCCCAAGTGGAGAGGGTCATTTCCGCTTCAGATGACTACAAATCCATTCTAGACCTTGATACAACCTGCAAAGTAAACAAAGCGACAGAAATGAAACCACTTATGAGTAAGGTTGGAAGGAAGTTTTCACTGTTTGGCATTGGATAACGTGTTAAAATAAGCCTGTTGCAAACTTTAGCTAGAGCAAAATAATAAGTTGTTCCTAACAGACAATGGCTCAAAAATCAGATGAGCAGATTGGAAATATCTGAAATACACTTCTGACTTCACGATCTGCGTAAGAAATATACGTTAATTTAAGCTTCCCGCTTCAAAAACGATACTACAGCGGAGGTGAATGTTTCGTAAGAGGAGTCATTCGATCCAACCCTTGCGCACTAGGATGCTACACATTAGTCAAGATGACTGATGTCGATGATGACTCCTCTTACGAAATGCTCACCTATGCTGTGGTACAGTTCTGAAGCGGGAAGCTTAAAAAACGCATATTATTTACAAAGATTATGAAGTTAGGAGTATAATTTAGACTTTCCCGATGCATTCATTGTGATTTTTGAGCCATTCACCATAAGAAACAATTTTTTTTTTTTTTTTTTTTTTTTTTTTTTTTTTTTTTTATGCTCAAGCTGAAGTTTGCAACAGGCCCATTATTTCCAGAAGGAAGAGTAAGAACATGCATTTTACCACAACCTGCCTCTAATCCTCCTTCAGCCTGAGTAACCTTGCCAAATTCTGTTTCTCCCTAAATTTTATTGCTCAAAATCGACTTTTATAAAATCATTAGAAAATATTTCAGTCGTGGCCAGTCATTCTTTACAGGATGGGAAGTTTTGATACCGATTTTTCCCTTTTCATCACTACTAGCTACCATTCTTTATAAATATTCTTGTAACTCTTTCCGCAAATAATATTCTGCCTCCAAGCTTCTGAGCCTTTGCTAAAACTTTTTTTTTTATTTGTTTATTTTTTTTTTTTTCACGGAGCGCTTATGGGAACAGGCATGGATTCAAAATTACCTTATTTAACGCAGAATTTTGTTATAAACAGGTTTGACTAAAGTATAAATCCTATCATAATCAAAATTAGTTTCATTTTAACTGAATGACGATCAAGGATGTAACGCCTATAGTACATAACGCCTATAAAACGATAGTAGATTTTGATTTGCGGTCTGAGCAAGTATTTCTCAAACAAAACCTAGTAGCCTTTTAAAAGGGGTTAGCGATCCCTTGCCTAATAGGGACAACATGAGAATTTCAATTGGGAACCCCTATTCATGAATACCCTGTTGGAAAACAAGGAATTTCTTTGTAAAAACTACAAGAACTGTTTATCATTGTTTTAAAATTGCAGAAGGTGAAAGTTCAAACTGATGATACTAAGGTCGCCTTTCAGAAACAATAATTAGTAGCTACCAACAAGGTACCACATGACAGGAGTTACCATGTGAAATTGCAAGTTGTCCTCTTCTCCTGATGAATTGGGGGGTAGGGGGTCAGCAAGCTGTTTATTTAAATTGATAAACAAAGTTATAGACAAAGACGACAAAAGGGATATGGTGGTATCCTACTGGTGGGAGTGGGTGGTTGCAATAAACAAAGGAGCTAAGTAACAGACTAACTAACGGCAACCTAAGAGATCAGACAGTAAGTCCATCATTTTCCTCCTCAGTCTGTAACAAGTAGCAAAAGCTACCTGCTGAGGGGGCGCCGCCCCCCCAGACCCCCCCTTTCAAATTATATATGTGAGACTTCGAGTATCATAGAAGTCGTGCGGCGACATGCCGAATGAAATGCCACAATTAAAATTATTGGATCAGATGATGAGCTGATAAAAGCCTTACCTAGTAATTTGGGAACATTTCTGACACAGTTTGGTTGCTTTAACTATCACTTTGATTTGCGAAATACAAATCGTTTTCACTTCGTATGTAGTTAAATTTGATTTTGACTGACTTAGTTTCTGATGGATTCAAACTCATAATATACATTTAGGTTCCAGGGAAAGAAAAATGCAGATGAGCTACACTTCACATGAATATAGATTGATTAAAAATAAATAATCCGAAGAAGTGATGGAATAAATGATAAT